CGTTGTCTGCGGTGGGGACAGGGTCCTTTTCGTGCTCCCTTTGTTGGAGCCTCTGGAAAAGAACCGCCGCATGAGGCTGCAGTCCTTGTACAGATGCTTGACCGGGAAAGCATGGTTTAGGCATGGCCCCTCGAGTAATTTTTTGAAGTGGTTTGGAGTGCCCTCCGCGGGCTTCCAACCAACCTTATGATCAGCGACGGCCACGAGTGAGCCCTCGTGCCATTGCTTCTTGTTCTTCTTTTTGGTGGAACGATTGGAGGCGCCTTCACCGGCGTCCTCATCCCGCTTTGCCTTGCCATCAAGATGATCGAAGATCGCTCCGACCGCTTCTTCACCCGAGACGTGGCTGGTGGTGATGTCCAGGAGTTCCTTGGTGGTTTGTAGGCCCTTACGCCCTAACTTGTGAACCAGAGACTCATAGGTGGTCCCGGACAGGAATGCTCCTATAACATCGGCGTTGGCGACGTTAGGGAGCTCGTTGCATTGCTGGGAGAAGCGCCGGATGTACCCATGGAGGGTTTCTCTGGCCTTCTGTCGGTAGTTTTTGAGGTCCCACGAGTTTCTAGTTTCCCACGAAGATCTCCCTCAGGTCCGCCCAATTTTGGATTCTGCTGGACGGCTGGTGTTCCAACCATGTCCATGCCGAATCGGCTAAGAACAATGGAAAGTTGCGGATAATAAAATCGTCATCATCCGCACCACCGGTTTGGTAGGCAAGCCGATAGTCTTTGAGCCATAGTCTGGGTTTTGTTTCCCCACAGTACTTCGGGATATTGGTTGGTGGTCGGTACCTTTTTGGAAAGGCAGCGTTGAGGATGTATCGGCTGAAGGCCCGAGGTCCTGGCAGGCCAGGGCTCGGGCTTCGGTCCTCGCCGCTGTCGATGCATCCGCCACGTCGAGGGCGATAGCCGCGTCTGGCTCCCTCCCTTAGGTCGTTGTAGGCGCGTCTGCGGGCGTCGAGGGTGTTGCGCGTGTCACGGTTGCGGCCGAGACGCTGACGCACCAGGACCGCGGTGTGCTGCCTACTTCCTTGTGGTTCCTGGTGGACCAACGCGTGCCTAGCGGGGTACTTCGAAAGCGTGCACTGGCTGATGTTGAGCTCGCATCGCCGAGACAGCGAACTCTCGGCCTGCTGCGCCACCGCACGCTCGAGTAGCGTTCGAATCTCGTGGTGGGCACGATGATCCTCGGGCGTCGCGGCCTCCGGAAGGCCATGGGGCAAGGCCATCGCGGCGACGATGTTCTGGCTCGCTCGGGCGAAGCGAGGGAGGGCTTCATCGTCGGCGATGATCCTCCGGTTCACATCATGGGCCATGGCGCGTGCGCGTCCACCGTCTCCACGGCGCTCGATCTCACGATCGAGCTCCGCGCATTCCTACTCGAGCTGGAGTCGTGCTTCGTCGAGGTCTCAGCTGCTCCACCCTGATATGAGGCAGGGCCGCTGTCTCCCTGTCGGCTTCATTGCCAAGGTTGTTTGCCGGGGTAGCCTCCTCCTCGGAGACGCGTTTGACGTGTCCCTCGGGGGTACCCGTCATGAAGCATTCACGAGAGGGGTGATGGCTCCCCCTGCTGGAGTCAGAGCTAGAGGGCGACCCCGGCTCCTCTGTGAGGAGGTCGTGGAGGGATTCCGTGACATGTTCGATCACCCCCACGAACCCATCGTTCGCGGGAGATGGAACCATGCGTTGTGCCACAAGGTGGCTAACGGTCGTCGTGGCATTGCGGAGACTGAACGGAAGCGCTGTCAGGGCGCTCCGCACGGGATGTTCTGGAGAGAGGGGTCCCCCTCCGGCGAACCATGTCATGTCATTGGCGTTAGAGAAGATGAGGTGGCGCGGGTCCTCCCTGGACAGCTGGGGTCCCAGGGAGACACCGAGCTGGCGCTCAAACCTCTCGTAGTTGAGGCTGATGGAGGGGAGAGGTTGGATGGCGGTGTGAGCCAACGCCAACTCTCCTCCCACCGTGATGATGAAGTCTAGGTCCTCGAAGCACAGGTGTGCGTCTGGGACCCAACTGATACCGTGGCTAGTCATCCATGGCCTGATGTTAACGTCAGAACACGCAAAGGCCCCCTACCTGGCGCGCCAACTGTCGGTGTTTCGAATAAACACCAACGAGTAAATTTGTATTATTGCACGTTCGGCCCGGATGGTGTGCTAAAAGATATAAGGTTTATACTGGTTCGGGCAGAACGTCCCTACGTCCAGTTTGTGGTTGCTGCTCGTATTATTTGCACTGAAAAGTTCATAGTAGGGGATACAAACGGTCGAGAGAGGGATATGTCCCAAGTCTCAGATGGAAAGATCGAATGGGGGCTGAGAGCTCAGATGCTGCTCAGCTATATGTGATGTGTTCAATCGAGTCGGTCCCCCTAGTGGGGTGCCCTATCTTCCCCTTTTATAGATAAGGGGAAGCAGGGATTACAAATGGGAGAAGGAAGAAAAACCAGAGGCCAAGGAGATCCTTCAACGATGTCGGGTGCTCCTTTTCCTCTGAGCGAGTACCCCAGACATGGCAGACAGTGCCAGGGGTGGCATGTCCTCTAATCCTGATAGGGTCGTGCTCTGGTTTCGTTCAGCAAGTGGTCACGTCCCATTCCGACCCCGCGGGTGGCGCGACGCACCAGGGTGCCGAATCACGACCCTACGGGGAGCAAACGGCGTAGAGGCCCCACGTTTGTTACTGTAGATGACATGAGTTCCCTCCTGGACCATAGTGGTTGTCGTATGTTCCTGTCAGGATTCGTGTCCGAGGGCAAATGCCAGCGCCCATAACACTGTAGGACAAATATCGGCGCCCGCAACGCTGTTTGGGCTCTGACATGCCTGGAAGGGCTTTAAAGCGCCCGTCTTGTCATATCATGACGGTACTTTCCTGCAGGCGTGCAGGGTATGGTTCTGGGTATTGCGGTTGACATGAGTGCACCGCCTTATCTGCACGCGTAGTTATGAAGGAGTAGTGCATAGACGTCGGGCGAGGCGGAGTCTGCCCCTGGACGTCGGGCGAGGCGGAGTCTGCCCCTGGACGTCGAGCGAGGCGGAGTCTGCCCCTAGACATCTAGCGAGGCGGAGCCCAGCCCCTAGACGTCGGGCGAGGCGGAGCCATCCCTCGGACGTTGGGCGAGGCAGAGCCAGCCCTCAGGGGTTGGGCGAGGCGGAGCCAACCTTCGGTTGTTTAGGCAAGAAGTGTAGTTGCGTGCTTGTCTGTTCGGAAACATCAACGTTTGATGGTTATTGGCTCCTCCTCTTCGAGTACCCCGGTATTTGGTCCCCGACAGTACTCTTCCAAAAACTCACTTTGCCAGGTAAACTCACCTTTGCAGGCAAGGGAAAGCTTGCCATGCCGGGCGATTCGGCTCTCCCACACCGGCAAGTAGGGCCGGACGAAAAGCTCGCAGCTTGCTCGACTTGGCTCATTGGTGGCTTGACTCGGTTTGGCTCGTTTTTTTTTCAACGAGCTGAGCTAACATTTTAGCTCGCGTAGCTAATGAGCCACTTCGCGAGCTGGCTCGAGCTAGCCTAACGAGCCAAAGCTGCTATCCTTAAACTTATACTAGTTTTGTATGACTTGATGCCTTACACTTTACAATTGATCGATGGCTGGACCTACACCCTGTAAACTTGTGATTACTATGACTCTATCACTTGGTTTTAAATGGATCTATGGATAAGAAATAATAGATTAGGGATATATTATGTATGATATAGTGTATGGACTATGGAAGTATGACATAGTATACTACAATATATGGTTATACTTGTATATAAAAAAACTCGATCCGCGGGGGGAAGCAGGGTATTTCATTAAGAAGACCTTCGTACGCACCCATATACAGCGGCATCACGCAGACATGTACTTTGGTGTGGGACAGACGAGAGGATTTTTTGGCGTGAAACAGATGAGGGGATTTTTTACTCTCAGATCTGAAATCCGCCCCCGAGGGAATCGAACTTGGGACACGAGGGGTGCCGCAGGAAGCGGTGACCAACCGGTCACGCTTCCGTTGGCGTTATACTTGTATATATGTCAGTGTATATTAATTTATTTGATCTAAAATCTTATGGATGAGTTGTTTTTTATTATTACGATTCTCATGCTCCACATAAATATATATATATATATATATATATATTATATTTTTATGTGTTCTTTTTTATGTCTGGGTCATAAGCTAAATAAGCCAGATCGATCTCGTAAACAAGCCGAGCACAGACAAGACTTTAGAGCCGAACGCGCGGAACCGATCGTCACCCAGCCCTGCGGCAAGGCGAGCACGCGAGCGAGCGAAAAAACGCGCGGGCGCGAAAAATTGGCGCGGAGCAGGCAAAAATGTCGCGGGTGCTCAGGTCACCTCTCATCTTCCCCTCCTTTCATTTGCAGGTACGTTCAGATTCCCATCTGTTAGCAGGTTCCCCCTTTCTTATCCTCTCCAAATTCACAATCTTTTCCATTCTTCCCCCTCTGATTCCATCTTTCCTGTCGCTGATCTGAAGCAAGCTCCGAATCCGGATCCAGTCCAACTCCGATCCAAGGTGATTGCGAAGACCAGGTAAGTGATTCCGAACAGCTGGATCTGGCCACCTCTGGCTGTCAGTCTCGTTTTCCTGCTTCTTCCGAGTTCTTCAGTTCTTCTTGGTCACATTCCAGTTCTTGTACAGCTGCTAGTAGTTAAGGTTTTCATTCGTCTCTTCTCGTTTGATCCTTGCAAGTTTCTTTTTCAGTCTCTTTATTTACTAACCATGTTTTCTCTTGGTGCTTTCCTTGGATCAGAGCACCATTTTCCTCTCTGTTTTTTTTTTCGTTTCTTTTGAAACGAATTGTCTAATGATGAGTAGTGCCTTTTTTTTCCCCGCTGAAGCTTTTCTTCACCACTAGTTTCTGAGAAACCGCACCGCACGTACGCACACACAAACACAATTGACCATTGTCTTTGAGTTTGCAGCCTGCGGCGAGGTGGTTGGTTGAGACTTGAGAGAGCCCCCGTCGCCGTCTCTCCGACGATGGAGACGGGTGAGCAAAAGAACAGCAAGAAGGCGAGAGTAGATCCGCCCGTGGCTCCTTTAGTGCCGTGTATGGTGAGCATTGACAAGGCCAAGTTTCAGTGCCCCGTTTGTACCCACCCCTTGAAGCCTCCCATCTTCCAGGTATGGCCGCTTTAGTAATTAGTCACTTGTTGTTTGCATTCTCTTGAGCAAGTCGAGCTTTTGCAGTGCGCCGCCGGGCACTTGGCTTGCGGTGCCTGTCATGGCCAGCTCGCCGACAAGGAACGGTGCTACAGGTGCGCCCAATCCGGTGGGTACAGCCGCAACTTCCCGCTGGAAGACGTCGTCCGCTCGACCAGGGCCATGTGCCCCTACGTCGTGTTCGGCTGCCCTAGCTCCGTACCCTTGTACGAGATGGGTGACCACCAGCCCAAGTGCCCACACGCGCCATGCCGCTGCCCGGAGCCCGGCTGCGCCTTCTTCGGCTCGCCGGCGTGGTTAAGCTACCACCTAAGGGCCACGCATTCCTGGCCCGTAAACATCATCGACTACGGCAAGGCATGCCAACTCCAGCTGCCGGCGTCAAAGCCGCGGTGCCTGCTGGTGGCGATGGAGGACGGGCGCGTGTTCGTCGTGTCTGTGGGGGCGCACCGCGCCGTCTCGCTGGTGTCCCTGAGGGCGAATGCCGCGGCGGGGCCGCACTACACGTGCAAGATGTCGGCGAGTGGGAGCGCAGCCGCGGCGTCCGGCAAGGTGCCGAACGTCTCGGTGGAGATGGAGGTGCCGAGCAGTGCGGTGGCCGGGGAGGCCGCGGCCACGGACACGGAGGCCAAAGTCGCCGCGGCACTAGTTGTGCCGCGCAAGATGCTGCACGGGCCATCCAAGGAGCTGCACCTCAACGTTAGAATCGACAAGGCGCAGACATGAACGCGACGAATCGTGCTTCATGCTGTAAGAATGAACGATGTCGCTGTGTAGTTGTGTTGGATATGTTAGGATTGGCTTCTTTTGTCCATGGCTTAACCATGGAAGGACTAGTAGTCTAGTATGTTGCTCAGTGGATGAGAACTAGTACTATTTTGTTCAGCAAGCTGCTCGAGAATGTACTGTATTTTGTTGTCCCTTTCACATGTTCCACTGGATGGTTCGTCTTACCTGAAGTGCTCGCTCGCAAATTTCATTTTACATTTCATGATGTTAGAAATCCCCAATTCCAGATTAGATCCTGGCCAAGAAGTAAGAACTGGACACAGGCATGGTGAGATTGATGCAGTGAGTAGTAATCAGGGCGCGTTTAGATGCAAAATTTTTTAGGTTTTGGCTACTATAGCACTTTCGTTTGTATTTGATAATTAGTGTCTAATTATGGACTAATTAGGTTCGAAAGTTTCGTCTCGCGATTTCTCACACCAACTGTGCAATTAGTTTTTTTTCGTTTACATTTAATACTCCATACATGTGCCGCAAGATTTAATGTGATAGGCACTGCGTAAAAATTTTTGGAAACTAAACAGGCCCTCGTACTGAATTAGCACGAATTCTGCTAAATTGCAGTTGCAGTTGTAGTAATGACTGAAGCACGGCTAGCAACAAACGTGAATGCAGGTCACCGGCCATCACTGCAGTCTCCTGGAGCTCCGAGCTCGTCTACTCTACGTAGGTTGTGGCCACCGTGGGAGCGGTGGCGGCATCGGGAGCAGGTCAGAGCTCGTCTGAGGGCGAGAGTTTCGCCGTGTTAGCACTCGGCAAAGCAACTGTATCCCGTAGTGGCTCCGATTAACGTTGGTGCTCGTGGTGTGTGTATGCTTTGTTCTCTCTCACTTCTTCTATCTTTTAAGCATAGTGTGTGGTCGGACAACGATAGTTATGGTCAGTAAGACTGATGAGTGATCGACCCACCTGAGCCGATAATCCTGGTGACTTACACGCCTCATATCGACAGCTGACCTAGCGGGCGCAAAAATCCATACATTACCCTGGCGCCGTCGTCGCCGTTCGGGGGCCTGCCGTCCTGGGGTGCCGCCGCGGCTCTGCCCGCAGCCACACTAGCGAGACCGCGGTGACCGCACCGAGAGCGCGCAGCGACACGAGGAACAGGCAGTCGTCCTCCTGCCCGACGAGGGCGTGCAGTAGGCTGTAGGAGACGCGGACCGGACATGCCGAAGCGTGCTCGCTGGCGGGCTACGGGCAAGCACGGCGCGCCGGTGGTCGTCCGCATGGTTGCCGGAAAGCAGGTGCTGCAGGCTGAGTGCCCAGCAACGCACTGCACAAGTGCACAGGAGATCGCCGTTGTCGATAAGAGATTCAAGAATAATGCAGCACCAAGCAAGGAGTTTGTCTGTAAGATTTGAGGCTTAGATACATGCTCATCAGTCCCTAAATGTTCGTCGTCATCGTTTGCGTGACCATAACTTTTAACTTAGATTTATAAAAAATACGTGTAATATTTCTATCTCCAAATAAATTTATTAAAAAACTAGATTTAAATATATATATATATCTAATGATAATAATTATGTATCATAAATATTAATATTTTTTAATATAAATTTAATTAAAGTTGTTTCTTAGATGCGAAAACAATAAACATTTAGGGTCGAAGGAAGTGCAGGATAATAAACTTTGGTGGCTGCTGCAATTTTGACTAGATAGAAGTCAAATGTTCAAGATGGAGATTTTTACCACTCGCGAGAGATCACTTCCAACGATGTGATTCTGTTATGAGCTGCTGCTACATTTGCAGCCACTGCCAACCCAGAAGAAACAATTAAAACACATATATCAACGCCTGAAATTCCGCAAGTTGCAAGAAAGATCAAAACTAAAATAAAGTTTGGTAGATGATGATGATGCAATTAGCACAGCGTCGCGAGACTGGAGGCCTGGATCTATGGCTCGACCACGTCGATGCGGACTCTAAGATGAATCTCCTTCAGCGGTCCGACCAGCATCGCCGGCAGCACGCACAGCGCCATCCCCTCCTCTTCCACGGCGGCCCCGCCGCCGGCGCCGGGCACTGCGCAGGTCGGCACGTCCGTCTCCATCCCCAGCCAGCGCCCCATGTTGGCGGGCATGTCCGGCAGCGGCGGCGCCTCCGCCCAGAGCGTGTACGTGTACCGCGGCTCCGCCTTGGCGCTGGCCCTGACGCACGCCAGCGAGACGGCCCAGATGTCCTTGCCGCGCGCGCGCACGGACAGAACGAAGAGGCGCCGCTCGTCGCCCTCCACGACCAGGAGGCGGTGCGGCGGCTCGGACACGGCGACGTAGAGGTGGAGGAGCTTCCCGTAGGACGGGACCGCGTGCAGGGGCCAGGCGTGGTCGGCGGCGAGGTGGTCGTGGAGCACGGGCGGGGAGGCCTTGAAGGGGCACAGCGCGCACGCGTCCCGGTGCGCGTCGCTCTCGTGGTAGGTGACGGAGCTGTCGCAGCCGTAGTCCCTGAAGGGGCACGCCACCCTGAAGCCGCCGATGTAGACGTCCAGGTCCGGGCCGCAGTGCACGAAGTAGGTGTCGCGGCCGCACTTGCGGCAGTGGCCCGCACGGCCGTCGCCGCGGCAGTTGTTGCACAGGCGGTGCCCGGCGACGCACTGGGCAATCACAAAGAATTTTGTAAGAAAGAAGATAAATTTCTTCGCATCTACTAGTAGAAGCATCTCCGTCGGTGCAGCGGCATTACCTTGAAAACGGGGGGCTTGAGGGGACGGTAGCAATCGGTGGCGGCGCAGTGAAGCAGCTGCGGTTGCAAGCTGACGTTTATCCGCGGCAGCGCCATGGGTGGATTGGCCTGCTCCGCGACCACACCTCTTCCGCCTTGGGCAACCTCTCCCTCCGATTCCTCCTTCAGTATGACGCCGGAGACCAGGCAGCTAGGTGAGGCGGACAGCGCCTTGGCCTTCTTGCTGACGCTGCCCTCGGCGCTCGCCGTCAGCGAGCGCTTATTCTGATGCTCCTCGCCGTCGTCGGCCATCTGCGGTCAACAAGCAAAGCAGTACTCCCTCCGTCCATTTATCGGCAACGTTTAAGCCTCCCGCACCAAGACCAAGGAGGACTCTCCATTCGCGTGCTTTCCATTTAATCGCAGCTGTAAACTTAATTACCCGGCACCGTTTCGTTTTCCCAACGTAAGCATGCCTAACGCCGCGGAAAACTCCGTTAACGCGCCATCTATCACCCGCGCGAGCGGAAAACTTCATATTCGCAAGACTGAAAATTTGGCCGCGCACTCTCCCTCGTCTATGGCATGCAGCAGCATCGTGGAAAATTTGAAACTTTTAAAAATTACGGAGCCCTTTTGCTTTGCCAGCCACAGACATGGCCCATAAAGCTGGCATGGAGGCAATTCGATTGCCATGTTTCTGTACCTCTCCCTCTCCCTCTCTCTCTCTCTCTCTCTCTCTGCTTCATGCTGCAAATATGCCTGGAATAGAATTCGACTTGAATGAAAACCCTCCCGAATCAGAGGTAGACCAGAATATCGACTGGGATTCCATTGCAGAACTTGAAGCGAGATGCTGCCGATGGCCTGCAAGATTTTTATCCTGCATCTGTACTAAAGAGCTTCAGGTTTCAGATTTCAGTTGGTAGTCTTCAGGTTTCTGTGAACTGTTGATAGTCTTCAGGTTTCTGCAGATTGAACAACATGCACGTACTGGACCTCATCGTCGTCGTCCTGGCGATCCATCGCGTGCAGCAGCGTGGCGTGGTGGCGGCGTGGAGCGACTCGGCGGCGCGGCGGCGTGGTGCGGTGGCGACTCAGCGGCGCGGCGGCGTGGTGTGCTTGGGACTTTCGTGAAGGCTAACGGAGGGAACGGAGGGCAACAGGAGAACGGCACCGCATCAAGTGCCGCGCTTCGTACGAGGAGCCGCGAGCGCCCGGGACGAGGTGAAACCGTGGTCCTGGCTTAAACGACGCCGACTCTTTGACAAAAAAAATTGCTCAGATGACACCGATTAATGGAAGGAGGGAGTAGTACACTGCAGCCTTCTTCTCTTTGCTTGGGTCGCTGTGAACTGGGGGGACATGAAAAAGAAAAAAAAAGTAGAATTCCTGATCTTTGATTTCCTTGGCTAAACTTTAATCACCTAAACCGGCGACTAAACTTTAATGACTTTGGTGTTTGGTTTGGTTGACTAAAACAGACTAAAGAGGCTTCCTTTTTCTCAGGATGTTTGGCTCTAAAGTGACTAAAAGGTAAGGTTTAGTCTCTTTTAACAATAATTTAGTGACTAGTTAGCTAAAGCCAATTTATCCTATTTAATCATAGTATTTGAGTGAAAAGTGACCAACCTAACTTTAACTTTAGAAGGGGCTAACCAAATAGGCCCCCATCACTGTGCCCCTACACCCACTATTTTTATTTCGGTAAAGCTATATACAGCCTGTTCGGGAGGCCGTATCGTATCGTGGATTATTTACTGTTGGCTGGTTTGGTGTGAGAGAAAAACACTGTTTCCGGCTGGAAATTTACGATCGTTTACGAGCAAGCGAACAGGCTGATAGCACTCCAATGTTTCTCGTGCTGCTCGCACTCCTTCCTGGCCGTCATCCACTGCCGACGGCTGTAGATCCGGTCCTTGTTTTGCCATTGGCTGCAGATACAGTCTCTCGTGTTCATCTTCTCCAAGTTCGATGGCCATAGAAGAAGGGCTCTGGGGAGGTGGGCTGGCCAGGCGGCCAGAAGGTTAGGGTCCTAGCGGCATTGGAGGCGGCCGGGCCAGATCGGGGCGGCGGCGCCCATGCTAAAGCTCACTGCAGATGCCAGATATCGGGAAGGGGAAGAATGAGGCCTCCGCGGCTGTGCTAGGGTTAGTACGGCCACGACGGGTCGGTGGCCAGTGGCGGGGGTGAGGAGGAAGATAAACAGTGCAAAAAACGAGTGCTCCAACCCCCAAACATTCTAACCTCAAGTAGACAGGCTCTTTTATTTTTTAAAAAAATCACTTAAAAAATTTAGCTTTGTATCCACCATTCACTTTTAGTGGACGTTAAATAGAAAAAATGACATATGTGACGCTATATGCTAAGTGGAAGCAATCAACGAATCTCTTCGTAGCACTGCAGATAAACTCATACTCCGCGGTTGGAGTACGTACGTGCTAAATTTTGTTCTGAATTTCGATACTTCGAAAAAATAGTCGGTCGTTTTTTAGGCGACCCGCACAGCTGCCTTCTTCTCCGATGCTAGCACCTCGCTCTCCCCCGCCCTCCTCCTCTCTGGCATCCCTACTCCTCTCTGGTGGCCCTCGTCCCCGCCGTCACCACCGCCACGCCACGGTGCGCTAGGGCTTCGCCAAAGCTCTGCCATGGTCGTGGAACTCCACCGCCCCGACCTAGCTAGATCACCACCGGCAAGGGATCTAACTGTTCTCCAACCATCCAACTACCTAGCCAGCCTTCCTCCCTCCAAACTTTCACTTCTAAGCCCGCCGGAGTTGGGAAAGATGAGAGAGAGAGGAGAAGCTCGTCGGAACCCTAACTCGTAGATCCAGAAGGAGGAGGACTAGGAGGAACCCACCTACCTCGCTGGCACCGCCGTCGGAGGAGAGAGAGAGAGAGAGGAGGCGCGTGCACGCCGGGGAGGAGGGCCGCGTTGTGCGCGTGGGGAGGAGCCGCCGCCAGAACCCCGTCGCTAGTGCTAGTGGGGAGAGAGGGAGGAGCCGCATGGGAAGAAGTCACGGGCACGTCGAGCGCGTGGGGAGCGTGCGCGTCGGGCCGTGAAAACGGACTATCATTTTTAAGTCATGACCTATGATTTTTCTTCTTTCCACTTTGCATTACATTTTTCTTGCTTTTTGGATGTCTTGATGTTCATATGACATACTACGCTCTAGCTAAGTAGTAGTAAGTGAGAATGTTTATATCACTTTCTTACTTTCACTAAATAAATAGAAGTTCCATAAATATTTGTCTCCCAAACCCGTACGTCATCTAAAAGCATTGAATGAATAGATAAAACTAATATAGATCTCTCACACAAGAGTGAAATATGCTACCAAGTTTAGATATAAGATAGTCACACAAGACAACTACATAACTCTTACAAGGTTATGTAAAGGGATAGCAATTTTACCCACGAGTATTGTCGGTGTTTCGAATCACCGACTAGTAAATTTGTGATTTGTGTGTCTGGCCCGGATGGTGTGCCCGGAGGACATAAGAATTTATACTGGTTCGGGCAGAATGTCCCTACGTTCAGTCTGCTGCTGCTCGTGTTACAGGCACTAGTTTGTAGTAGGGGTTACAAAACGGGCGAGAGAGGGAGCAGGTCCCAAGTCTCTGGTGAAAGGGTCGAATGGAGTTGAGTCTCGTTGAGCTCGTTTAGCCGTGCCTTTCGTGGGGCGTCCTGCTTCCCCTTTTATAGATGAAGAGGAAGGCATAGGTTACACAAGAGAGAGAGAGAGATAAAAGCGAGGAGGAAGAAGGCCTCCGGGGTCACGGCGCCCTTCACCTCCTTTACGCGGGTCCCGCTGGTCCTGTAGATGATGACGGGGATGGCTCCATGTCGTGACCCTACTCATCATTGGCGCCATACGTGGGCGTCGTTAGCCGGTCATGGTGCACCATTCCATCCTGACGGATGGCATGGTTAGCAGATACCCCCGTCGGAAGTCGTATGAGGATTAGGTAGCTTAGCGCTGGCACGCCCGACACTATTGGTGATGTGAGTCCTCCGGTATGGCCCGTTGTGGCCGCGGGTCACGTCAAGACACGCTTACTCCCTTTCTGGTGTCAGAAGTTTGATCCTAGGTTCGTACTTTTAGACCCGTAGTGGTTGGAGGCGGTACAGACCCCCATCGGGTGAGGCGAAATCCCCCTTCGAGGGGTCTAGCGAGGCGAAGTCCACGCCCGAGGGGTCGGGTGAGATGAAGTCCGCACCCTTGGGGTCAGACGTGATGGAGCCCACGCCCGAGGTGTCTGGCAAGACGGAGCCTGCACCCTCAGGATCGGGGGAGACAGACCCCGTGCCCCGGGGTCAGGCGTGACAGAGCCCGTGCCCCTAGGGTCGGGCGAGACGGAGCTCGTATCTTCGGGGTCGGGCGAGACCAAAATACGCTCTTAACCATCCGGGCGAGTTAGCACTCACGGGCATCAGCTTTCTTCTTCCAGGTATCCCTAATACTGATACCCAATAGTAGCCCCCGAGCCTGCGGAGGAGTAGGATACTCCGTTGAAGGCTTTTTCAGACGTAAGGATTCTAAGGGTCTTGATCTCCCTTTAAGGGCCATGGGATGTCTTGGTAGGGTCGTGATTCCTTTTCGTTGTGTTCAGACTCTTCGAGAGCATGTGGCTACGAGATTTGGGGGGTCAGAAAAGATCTCTCTTAATTCCGATCGCTCCCAAGGATCTGATCGATCCGCCATTATCATGCAACCACGTATTTGGTCTCTTTGTGAGTTCAACTTCTCCCACCTCCTGTGCATAGCAAGGGTTCGGTCGAGGGGTCAGCTTGTCTTGTGGTCATCCTCCCTCAAGCATTTTTTTCAACAAAATAGAGGGACTGAGCCGTGCCATGTTTTCCTCGATGGATGAATCATGATGCTTGGTGAGCTGTTAACGGGCTAGTTCGAGTGGGGCCCTAGCTTCCCGTTCACGGGGGTCCGGCATGGGTCAACTGGTGACCGACTCTAGATTCCTAGCAACCAATCCATATAGTTCTTGGGTCTGTTCGATCGGTCCCAAGGGCTCGTTGCCTTTCTTTGGAGAAAACCCATGGACCGTGCTCCGGCCGAGACCCGAACGTGGGCCGAGATGCCCATGGCGCTCATGCACCCGGGTATTGGCCACTAGCAGGCCCATCCCTTACCACCCCTCACTCTAACGGTGCCCTGGAGCAGTTGTGAACTCGTCGGTGGGTCAACCTTTGAACTCCTGGGCCTTATTGGGCCACGAGAGCGTTTTCAGCTCTGTATCCCTTCTTACCTGCGGTGGTTTTTGGCACATCGAGGGGACAAACCGCTGTTCGGCGT